TTAGTAACCTTAATTAATTAACCAAAAATATGAAATTATAGAAATGGTTAAATAAAACGCTTACAGCTATGCATATGTCGTTGAGGAATAAGCCATAAGCAAACCACATAACGGCGCTTATAGTGAGGAAGAAAGAAAGCGTGAAGGGCATAAACTCCACACTCTTTGTCTTTATTACACGAGCCTTGATTTTCACAATACAAAAAAAAAAAAAAATCAATATTATTTTTAGCTAAAAAATGTCATTATTTTATAACTTATATATTGAATAAAAACGCTTAAGTTAATCATTACCACTATCATTAGAGGAGCAGCGAAAACAGAAACAGATATAGCAACGCAAATCCAGCCAAGGAGAGAGACTTGAAGATTAGGACTTTTCACCGCGAAATGTGTAATTATCAGAATCAACGAGAAGAAAGCAACGTTCATTGCTACGAACAACTTCATAGCCGAGATCTGAAAACACATGTGTCAAAAAGTAAATTAGTAGTTATTAAAACCATTACATTCATTTCGTAGTTAATTTTACGTAGAGGGAAGTGGAAATTACCCTTTTGTCCCTTGCGGCGTAAGTGAAGAACATGGCGATGTAGATGGTTTCCACGACGCAACCGAAGGAGTTTATGGTAATTAGGAGAAAAGCGTCTTGCTTAAGCAATGCGTAATAGAGCCATAACATGCAGCTGAATAGCGACACTTGGTACGGTAGAGACTGGAAACTTTCCGTCGCTTTTTTCTTGAATATTCTATAAAACGTAGGCCTGCATAATGGAATAAAAAAATCAGATAAGTTTTTTCTTATAATTAACAATTTTTCTTCGTAAAATAAAATAATAATCGTATCTAGTACTTACACTGGAGCGAGGAATACGAGGAAGGATATCACGTTTCCTGTAATTTCATTTAAACAAAAAAAAAGATTAACAAAGAGATTTTTGTTTTTAGTTGAATGTATAACAAAGAGAAATTGAGTCAACTGTGTAAATATACTTTAAAAAAGGCTTCTAGTTTCCAGTTTCTACCCGAGTTTCTCTAACCAACCTCAACGGGGAATTAAATTGCTGCATTAACCGCACTACACGTACCGAGTATATGGACAACAATGCGTGACGATTTCAATTTTAATTAAAAGCTTACGTATTGATTTAATTTTTGGTAGTTTGGGATTTTTATTACAAAATTAGAAAATCATTAATGATCCCAAATGACTCGTATAAGTATTGTAAATGAAGAAAAAGTTAGAAACAATGCAAGAAAAAAAAAATAGGTAGGTGGGTCATGAATCATGAGAACTTTCCATAATTCTAATTTCATCGGTTAGTAAAATTTTCGGTTTAATTCACGTCTTAGACAATGGAACCCTACACACATAGTTTATAATATTTTTGAAAAGCTTAGATACGAAGTTGCAGCATTATAGTTGTTGTTGCAAATTCCTTATTCTAGATATCTTCGTTCGAATCATTGCTTCAACTAGTTAGAAAAATATTAAACAAGTAAAATAAACAATCAAAGAGAGCGAAAAGAGAAGAGATACTTTCTATAAAAAAAAAGAAGAGAAGAGACGATCGATGATGAACAAACTAAGATTTGGCTTTGTGGATTTATCATAAGAACATTACCTAATATGCCGAAGATAATAGAGAGCAAATGGTGATTGATCATGATTGCCATTTTCTATAGAGATTGTGAAGAAGAGTTTCCCGTATGGATATTTTCTAAAGGATCTCAGTGTTTTTTTGAAACCCTAAAG